CGCCAACCCGACACGTCTCTTGCCAACCCCACCCGCCCGCCACCTTTTCCTCCTCCTTTTTTTCCTTCTCCACCTTTCCTCCTTTCTTCATCATCTTGTTTTTCCCCAGCACACCCTCCCCCCCAGCCCCCCTAACTCTTTTATAAACATCTTATGTTTATTTTCTCATTTTTCTTAATTTTTATTTCACCATCATCGTTTTCCTCCACTTCTTATTCGCGTTCTTATACGCGACCCCGTGTGCCTCGGCAAATAACTTACTCGCAAATTCATCTGAATGGTATCACGCATTATACCATATTGGGAAGGGCTTGAATTAATGCGTGAGATAGGCTATGAGACATGGGGTATAATAGTGCCTGGCGGGGGTGGGAGGGAAGCGATTTGTTGAGGCAAAGGCACTATGCCATTCTTGAGACTCGAGGAAGTATGACCTCGTGGAAAACGATACGCGCTCGCGCGAGGGCGGTGTTTGATGGCGCAGGGAGGGGGGGGCTAGAGAGGAATTACGATGATGGTGTCTGTGGTACTTGGACTCTGCGATGGTGGTTGTGGTCGGACGATGGTGGTAAGGGGGCGGCTCAATGGGTTCCGGGGCGCGTGAACTTTGCCGCGAGAAATGCGCGAGAATTTCCGCGCGGATGTTTGTCGTCAGCTCAGGCTAGGGGGGGGNCTGGGGGGGGGGGAGGGATTCTCAACAGTGTTGCCGGATTATGGACAACCGAATTGAGGGGAAAAAGTTGTTAATGGAAATGGGTACGGGTTTGACAAGAAGCTGGAGTCGTTGCGATAAGGCTAATTGGGGGGACGGGGAATTTATGGTAATGGGGTATCAATATGTAGTGATGTTTTCATCTAGTTGTGATTCGAAAGGGGAGTGTTTTATGGGGGGAGGCGCTGCGGGAACCAATGATAAGAAATAGTGATGCTTTTTACATTCAGAGTCCTAATTGTGAGTGCAAGGGACTGTTACCAAGTCCTTTTCTAAGATTCGTCTTGATATTCTCCTGTTACAAAAGCTCGATTCTTCGGAGAATTCACAAAATCAGAGAAAGACGAGTGAGCTGTGAGTGAGGTATTACCTGAATGCGGGTAATGGCGCTTGGTGTGTCGTATAGATAACTTACATTCGACAATTGTCAGGTAGAAAAAGTCGACGGTGTAAGAGAGCTGGATTGAATGAATGAAATCGATTTTTCACTCCGAACACATAAAATCTCCGTAGTTGAAAATCTTATATACTAGTTGATTTGTATTGACTTGGGTCATTGTTGTGGCCAGAATGAACCTGAAGAAGATTAAATTTTAATCGAAACGAGGTATGAAGTAATGTGGTTATTTTGTTGTCCAATTAGCAATGAACATCCTTAATTTACTTACACTGTTAGAAATTGTTCGAAATTGAAAGTGACATTGAATCTGATTTAGGAGAGGAATGGTTATGAAATTTCAGGCGAAATTTTTTTAACAATGTACGTACTTCTTCAAGGATTTTACACTGTAAGGACTTACACATGTCAAGGGGCGACTTTTCAATGGAAAATGGTCAAAAGTGTCAACTTTTCGTTGTAAATACTTTTCGACTTTAGACCCTCGGTATTGGAATAGAAAGAGTGTAAAAAATGTTTGTGGCTGTGTAGATGAGAACGCACACCGATAGACTCATTCATTTATTCCAAACGAGATTCATTAACTATTAATGAATGGTAGAGTTGAATATGACCAAATGAATATTTGTTAATAGTTAACGACTGATTCACTTGAAAGGTGACAATCGAGCCAAACAAACCTTCTCAAATGTGCATTTGTTAACTATTAACGAATGAACATTTGGTGAGACTGAATAAACCCTCGTCTTCAAACAAATCCATTCGTCAACGATAACTAATCCTTTCTCTCAGTGCAAAGAATCAAAAGCTTCGATTGTTAGGAACATGTCACTGATTTTTTGGGAATATGTCACCGATTTTCAGGAATTTATAATGAATTATTGGCGGCATTGGACTCTATCTAGGATCGCACTAATCATCAATGATTTTTATCACCGATATTTGATGGTAAATTTCTGAAAATTAGAGAAGAAGTTCCTGCAAATCAGAGACTTGACTCTGAAAATTGATAAGTGATGCGATGATGTGCCTGAAAATTAGCGACGATGTCACTGATAATTGGTGATGCTATCACTGGAAATTCACGGAGAGAAATGTTCAGTAAAAATTACGGAACTCACGATTCACTCACCGATTACGAAATCGACTCAGAAAATTTAAGGGACGGTATCGTAATTTTTCACAGGAGATTTAGATAAAAATTACGGAACTCACGATTCACTCACCGATTACGAAATCGACTCAGAAAATTTAAGGGACGGTATCGTAATTTTTCACAGGAGATTTAGATAAAAATTACGGAACGCTCCGGGAAAATTCCGTGACAGTTCCATAAAAATTCCTACAACCACATTTCGCTCCGGAATTACGGAAAAGATATGTTATTTTTATTGAATATTTCTCTCCGCGTTGGTGACAAAATCACTGCATTTCACAATTGTGAATCCCTAATAATTGGAAATAAGTTCTTCAAAAACAGTGGCAGGTATTGGAGATAAATTCACGAAAATCAGTGACATGTCCTGGGAAATCAATGACATGTTCCTGAAAAGCAAAACGTTTCGTGCTCTGTGTAGGTAGAAGTCATTACCCGCTCTGCGACACAGATACTGCTTACCACACTGATAGAGCAGATTAGTTATTGTTAACGAATGGGTTTTGGTTGGAGGTTAAGGTCTATTCGGTCTCACCAAATGTTCATTCGTTAATAGTTAACGAATGTATATTTGAGGAGCCTTGTTTGACTTGACTTTCGCCATTCAAGTGAACCATTCGTTAACTATTAACGAATATTCATTTGGTCATATTCAACTCTACCATTCGTTAATAGTTAACGAATCTCGTTTGGAATAAATGAATCATTCTATCAGTGCATATATTAGGTGTAATGAACCTTGCGGTCCAGAAAAGTTGACTGAATGAACAGATTTTGCTATCGATCCAGTCTGCGTTTCGACCCATGTGTGCGGGCTAATTTATTGCTAATTTATTGCTGTAACTTAAAATACACAGGTGCGGTCGATCAAAAAATTAACATTCATAGTGTCAATTGTCATTCAGATGAGGGGAATAAAGGAGATACAATCATCAAATCAAGCGAAATAATAATGTAGTAGCGAGTGGAAATCACTCCAGGTCAGTGTTCTTGTCAAAATCCATAGGTTACGTCAGCTTCTGTAGAAAAAAAACCGGAAGTAGTAAAATGCATGTTCCAGTGGGTACAGATAGCTGAACAGTAAAAATTAGAATCTAAATACCTGACTCGTAAAAATAAAAAACAAATAGTTTTGAACTGACAAAATTTTATAGTTGATCTTGATCTTGAGCCATTGATCATTTTTGGGGGATTAGTTTAATGTCAATTGTCATTCGAATGAGGAGAATAAAGGAGATGCAATTGTACCAAGCAAAATAATAATTGAGTAGCGAGTGGAAACCATTTTAGGTCAGAGTTTTTTTCAAAATCCACAGGTTACGTCAGCGCCTGTAAAAAAAATGAAAAACCGAAAGTAGTAAAATAAATGTTTCAGTGCGTACGGATACGTAAACAGTAACAAGCATACTCTTGATACTTGATTCGCAAAAATAAAAAACAAATGATTTCAAATTGACAAAATTTTATCGGTGATCTTGATTTTGAGCCATCGATCAATTTTTTGGGGTAACTTTTTAATGAATATGCTTTCATTGTAACGAATTAGAATTTTGATACTCGTCAAAAAAAAATGATAATCCAACGATACGTTAATGTACTGTAAGAGGAATGAAGATATTGTAAATGGGTAGTCCGTGAATTCATTAGATTATTATGGTATACAACCGGCTCCCAAATTGCGATATGCGGAATGCGGAAATCGAAGACGACGAGAAGCCGATTGAATCGCCATTCTAAAGTCTGGTTTACAGTCTTATGATATTTATGCGGCGCACGGTTGTCGTCACCTGTTTTATTGTCTGCTGGTAATGATCTATCCTGTGAATTACCGATAGTTTAGGTGTCTACTGTGCCAGTAGTAAATACGTCTTTAGTTTTTCTCTTACTTACTGGCGATCGATAACTGTCTCACGATCGATATTGTGGGAATCGGTGCCGATTTATCGATTCAGCGAGATAGTGGAGAAAGTTATGGAGAGATGGCCGTTTTTTACATTCCTCGATTCAAACATTTGAACAAAAAAATCGAATGAACTAACTGAAATCAACGATAATTGTTCAGAATAGATTTTTTAATATTGAAATATGATTTTTAATATAATTTTATTATTTTGTTTTAGTCTTCCAACTGATGTACTTATATTCTGATTCGTATTAATCATGGATTGAGCATCAACAGGAGAATGTAGGAAACAACAACAAAATTTAATGTATTCTATATTAAAAATTAAAAAAATCATCTCATAATTCCCATAAATAACAGTAAATCACCAGTTTCATCATAATCATTAATTATTTATTTATAAAATCGTGTTTATTAACAAATGCAGAGCGACAAGTCTCATCGCCGAATAAATAATAACAAAAGTGCCATCGAATAAACTGAGACGCAGTCCAATTAATTTATAATTACTCCACAAGTATAAATAATTACGCTACACCTCAATCAACGGAGGGAAGAAATTCAACTGTACAATAGCTTAAGTCGACAGAATGAATCCTCATGAAATGGCAGTGAAACTCATTCCAGATATCTCGCTCGCTGGGGTACATCAAGTATTTTGAATAATCTATCTGAAATTATTTGGCGTTCGTGTCTTTGGCCGAGCCCATCGCGTTCCAATGAGTTACGATCCTAGAAGTAGAAGACCAACAACATTACATTAGCCCCAAACAAGAGCATTAGCACTAATCGTTTATTTCGCCAATGATCCTTGAATTAGACTAATAACTACCTGAGCTACTTGATGACGATGAGGACGAGGAAACTGAGGGTGCACCGTAGGAATTGGCGGAGCTTCCGCTGCTGCTGCTCGGTGAGTAGTAGTTGTAAGCGAGACCCTGAGCATCACTGGGGGTCCATACTCTCGAGTAAGGACCATTACCATCCCACGTATTGATGGGTTCATATCCGGAAGTGGTAGTGGGCACTGGTGGGGCGCCGTAAGCACCGGCAGGAGCCGGTTCCATCGACATTCCTGATTTAATAATTAAAAGCGATGTCATAAACCCGATCTCCCCCAGTGAAAAACTCATAGTAATCATTTACAAGGTATAAAAACGTCAACGTACCCGTGGGAGGAGCCATGCCACCCTTCTTGAAGAACTGCAGTGCAACAAATGCGACGACCACCAGGAGTGCCACCTTCGACAGAATCAGTGCCTTCATCGCCTTCAGTCCAATGAGGGCAACAAAGATCGGCATCAGTGCCTTCATTTTAAGCTTTAGAAGCACCAAAAACGGCAGCAACAGCTTCTTCTTGAGGAGTCCCCTCGCCTGGCTGGTGGCAGCCTCGCTGTTCTTGAATTCGACATCAAGATCCGCGAGACTGCGGCTCGGTCTGTACTTCAGTTTAGCATCGACGAACGGCAGATCAATGCCGTAGTCGAAGCTCTTCAGGTACTTGACGCTCCTCACAACTAGCGCTTCGTCGACGGTCTCCAGCGACCGAGCTTCCGTTATTGTGCCCAATTTTTCGTCGAGATAACTGAGCACCTCATGCTTCAAACACGAGGACCACGAGTCGGCTCCGATGCACTCATTGAAGAATTTGGTGAGAAAGTCCTGTCTCGATGCCGACGCACAACATACAATTGCAGTGAGACAAATCACGTGGAACAAACGCATTTTTAGGGCTTCTCTTTGGTTGGTAAACTTAAATTTTATTGGCTCGGGGATCGACGATAATTCGACGTCGATCAAGTGTCTCCGTCCCGGTGGCACGCAATCGGCGATCGAACTGCTACTGACGGAGGAGTGGCCCGCCCCTTTTATTTAATTTCTACCGGTGGATCTATGTTATTCGGTCGTGCATGCCTCGAATTAACGATTCGAAGGAAAATTATTCAAATTTACATCGCACAGGGGGGCGACGATCCGTCAGTCGCACGGGTCTTTAGAAGCGATGCGTATATCTTTGGCTTATTGTACGTCGTGGCATGCGCCAACGGGAAACGGAACTTGTCCATGATGGTATGTGTTGTTTTAATGTGCTTCGTATATGCTAACGATCATGTTAATTCAGGGATTGTCATCTTCGTGGTGTACGTGCTGCTAATTAATTTTTTGTCAAATTTCACCGGGTACGGGGACTTGATTCGTGAATGGGGTGTGACGGGCGGGAAATCGGAATGCATTTCACTGTCAGTTTTCAAGGAATTTTTGGAGAGAGAGGGAATTGGGGGGAGGAGGAGCACATCGTGGAAACATTGCTGGGAAGTAATTTTGTTGAGAGACAAACGAAACTAGGAGGGTGAAGCAGCCGATGCTTAGAGTAATTCACTCCTTCTTGATGGGATAGTGAAGAGAAAAAAGTTTTAGGTTTTAGGGATCTATCCGTGATTTTTAGAAATAATTTCTTAATTTTTAGGAATTTATCACTAATTTTTAGGAAGCTCTCTTTTCCATTTTTGGGATTGTTGATAGTAACGAGAATCACTTCATGGGGTGAGAAAAATTGGATAAGAATTGCATAGAAAATCGTGACAAATTGAAACAAAATTTTTTTTCATTTTTAGGAAAGGTAATTTTGGAGCAAAATGTAATTCGATAAAAAATGCCTGTTTGAGGAGGTTATTTTACATCGAGTTCGCTCCACGATTACTTGACTTGTTCGGTAATTTGTCTCCAACTGTTTTCTCCGCGCAGTAATTTAAAATTTAGGGATAAAGTTCCTGAAATGTGGGACAGACTATGGTACTGGAAATTAGTACCAAAAACTCTTGATTTTTTTATTTCTCACCCGTCGGCAGGTGTGACCAACGGGTGGATGTGATATATTTTCTTTAAAACTGCCATTTTTCAATGTTTCCTAAAAAAGTTTGTGTTTTTTCCGTGAATAGCTATTACCGCCAAAACTGCGTCATTTTATCCTTTGAACAGAACAGAGACTGAAATAACTGAAATTCACAAAGCAAAAAAAAAATAATTTCTATGGATATTCGGATTTCTGAAAATTAGGAGCACCAATCGTGTTTCATAACAAAAATTGAAAAAATGCTTCCCTTTCACTAGTAGCGAGTAAGTAAACTACCGAATGGATCCAACCTGGAGCATGAGATTAAATAGGTGCGGGGGGTTGTAATATCTTTCTTATTCACTCCGATATATACTCTTTTTCACGGCCATTACATTTACCACATCATTCCCCATATCTCCAAATTTTTTCAATTTCTTTTTATCCTCTAGGGCGGTGGAATGTTGAATTTAATCATAACTCCACAAGAGCCTATGTAAAAGGTCCATTTTGTTTATTCACTTTCTCAATACCTGTGACTTATAAAATTTTGAAATTGTCACCAATGTTCACCGTGTGCTTGATACTATTAATGAAAAAAAAATTTTTTTAGTGAACATTGCAAATGTCATTTTTAAAGGACATATATGTCAGCCTTAAATAAAATCTCGGAGTAGGTATTTTGGTTTACCTTCGCTAGAATAAGATGAGCCCAATACCATTCATTGCAACGGAATGGATTGGTTAACCCCTCACGTAAGGGTTGATGCATGGTATCCACCCATGCGAATGCGAACGCTTGTTTCCAAAATAGATTATTTCTAAATCTATGAAGAATAACTTGATCAGAAAAACAACATTGGAAACCGGAATACTGTAGCTTCAATTAGATACCGGTTTCATAATTTTCCATTCATTGAAAATAATCGAATTCGAGTCGTATTAAGCACACTCTACGCTTGGTAGCAGAAGGCCCCCGTCCGTGAGGAGTAAATTTAACATTTATCTTCTTCCGGAGATGAATGAATCCAATGTCTTTTTGTTACCCAATTGATATTATGGAATTATAAAACCAGAACTGAATATTATTCAACACCTGTTTTACTTAATGAATCCCCTTCTTTTTCTGAATTCACCGTTTATTTTCTACAGCATTCTCCTGTGGCGGTAATCAGTTATGATGGATAAGATATTCATTCACTTGAGAATCTATCAATGTTGATGGTTTCAGCTGCATCGATTTTTTTAGATAGTCTGATTGAAGAGTCTTGGGCAAAATAAGCTGATGGAGGGGAGCTTCATTTCTTTGTTTGGCGGGACGGTTCATGAATCTGTCATCGATTTGTCGCGATGAGTGAGCAAGTGTGCTCCTGTAATGAACGGAACGTAGGTCCCATGAAATAACCGAAAAACGGTATGATTCGAGGTATGAAGAGGTTTAGGGGAATGAATTTCAACTAGACTGGATGAATATCATGTGAATTCAATGATATGTGTGGACTCACATTGAGGGCATCCTGTGCACTGTGAATAGACCAATTCATTTAATTTTTTCCCTTTCGTCTTCATCTGATTTTGTCTTACACTGATAATTTTAGTCCGTACGCCCGTGCAGGTCAAGCATCGATTATGAGGTCCCCGAGATAAATTGGATGTACTAATTGGATTGGTATTCAACGTTCCTGTTGGATTATATAGCTTCGTTATCTAAGAATCGATTTAATGAGATTATGCGTACAAAAACGAATCGACGTAGAGAGCGCCGGAGAGTTAATATAAACATAAACAATGACCCCTTGTTAGAAAGAACCGAGAGCTCTTTGTCGATAATTGACGATATTTTTTTGGTCTTTGTGAGCGGTATTTAGTCTGCTGGAGCAGTTCGTAGAGTACAGACGTTTTTCTTCCTCGTACGATTTTAATAAACAATAGTAATTAGACTCAAATTCACTGTGTTTTAAATAATTCAACTTCTCATTTCCAATAATTCCTTTGGCCGCTGCTTCCGAATCTTTTGGTTATCCAGCCGAAAAATTAATGGTTTAATTTTTATGAGTAATTTAATTATTTATAATCATTTTTGTCTTTTGTAGAATTTTGTAGGAATTTTCCACTAATACTTGGGAATAGATTCCTGAAAACCAGTGACACACTGAGAGAAAAATATAATTCTTCTGGCTATATTCCATCACCATCGAATTATAGTCAAAAAGTCCTCAACAATTTTTCATGGGTTACCCATTGCAACAATTTTATAGTTCTGCTCACGATAGACTTGTCGTGGTTACTTTTGAACTTTGGTTAGTTTAACTGTATGTTACTATAATGATATGTGCCGCATACGTAAATCACCAAAATGCCTCAACTATTTAATTATTGTAGATCGAACTTCAGATTTTTCTCTCAGTGCATGTCCCTGAAAATAAAAACTTTTTTTCTGATCGAACGAGTGTAACGATGACAGAAACAGATTGAATCTATCCACCAAGACCACGTGTGATTCAAACGTTAGTCGCGGGAGAGAAGAGTGATACAAACGCGACGACAGAGATAGTTTTCCATTGTCTTCTTACTACGAGTCATATTTACACTAGTTAACGGTAATTCATTTATTGTCCGGTGGCTCCGGATACCTTCGCTGCCACCAATTCATTTAGTCCACCGAGAACATTTTCACGGGTCGGGGAGCATAATTGAAACAACTCGAATTACGCTCTTCATTCAAATTACCGCCACTCTTCACCCACGAAAAAACGCTGCATATGTTATTTCCAGGTTAAATTACTCTACGCTTTCGTGAAGGAATAATCATCGAGTTCAACAAAAGGAGAGACGTCTGGTGTCCCACTGAAACGAATACTATTTGCTAAAATAATGTCTCTATATTCATTACCATAGACACCACTATTGTCTCAAAAATAAACACGAATGAGAATGAATGAAACATGAGGGTCAGAATCTCAATGCAAAGTGCGGAGAAAATATTGATTGAAGCCATAATATTCTAATAAATCGGTAAAAATTCAAACTGCTTGGCATGAGCAGCATAGCGGACATTACTATGAATTTTAAAAGTCGCGGGAAATTAGAGTGAGATTTCTCATGCATTAACGATCAATTATATATGTCTAACAACGAATAATTAGTGCAAAAAAAAATTGTGTATTATTTTTTTGCTCCGCACATGCTCAAAATGTTAAAAATAGTTCAGGGTCTCCAATTTTTGAGCTACAGACGTTTTTTTTTCAAAATTTTTGAAAAAGCGCACAATAACAACTATGAATTAATTTTTTGAAAGTTAACTCCTACGCAGATGAGTTTGTTTGTTCTGATGAATATAACAATTTGCGCCAATCATATAAAATAGGCAAAAACATTTTCCTTCAAATATTAAAAATATATTCTCGATGCTTTCAGAAACATTTTTTGGGTCATTTTTTACATGACTGGTGTAATTTTTGATTACACAAAAAATGAAACTAACTGTATAGGAGTCGAATTTCAAAAAAATAACTCGTCATTGTTATTGCACACATTTTTTCAAAAATTAAAAAAAAACCTCTGTAGCTCAAAAATTGGGGCCCCTGGAGTAATTCTAACATTTTAAGGGTCTACGGGGCAAACGAACAATAAGTAATTTATTTTTTTGCACTAATTATTCATTTTTAGAGGTATATAATCGACTTTCAATGTGTGAGAAATCACATTCCAACAGCCCGCGACTTTGAAAAGTCATAGTAGTCTCCCCTTCAGCTCATCGTGGGAGAACCTGTATTGAACCTGATACTCTCGAGGTCTATGAAAAACAATGAGTGTCGGACGAACAGTGGGCAGTTTGATGTTCCACTAAAACAACTACCGTCTTCTAAAATTATCTCTCCATATACATGACCCATGAACACCGTTGGTGTTTCAAAAATAAAAACGAAAGAGAACGCATAAAACATGACGGTCAGAACGCCATGCAAAGCCGGGACAAAATACTGATTGAAATGAAGATATTGTTACGTGTCCCCCTTCGAACCCTAATTCAATTGGCCACCATCTAAAGGAGCCCCTTGGTACAGTCCAACTCAATTTCCTTTTCCCTCAAGAAGCTAATTTCAGCCCACAGGTTTCAAAACAACAGAAATACAATTTTTCAAACGTAACAGAAATTTTATTCTGACTATAACGACTATCTTTTGGATAACATGAATATCAGTCTCTCTTTGGAGATCTGTTCGAAGTCGCATCCTCCTGAACGTCCTCTTCTAATTCGCTAGCGAAGTGGTAAAACAGTTTGAGTCGACTTATGCCCCCGTTGAGTTTTTGAGGAATATTTCGGAATCTAAGGGAGATAGCGAAATTTTCATAATTACATTTGTTATAGCTCTCAATTGGCTCTACAAAAAATATAAATAAGGGTGATAACAAAAATTTTGCTATCACCCTTAGATTCCCAGATATTCATTGAAAACTGGTCAATCGTCAAAATTTACTTGTACCGTTTTACCCCTTCGCTACAGAATTAATAAACCGCCCCAACCAATTTCATAATTGTGTCGTGTCCCTTTCTCCGCTGGATATCACAAAATTCATCTTGCATCCTGGAAGGATCTGTACTGTGCAGCCTGATACTCCCGTGGACAGCAATGAGTGTAGTACGAACAGACAGAATTTTGTTGTTCCAGTAAAACAATTACTGTTTTCTAAAATAATCTCTCTACATTCGTCATTGTAAACACCGCGATGGTCCCAAAAATGAATATTAAAGAGAATAAACAAACCATGAAGGTCAGAACGCCGTACAAAGCCATGACAAAATACCGATTGAAATCAAGATATTTGAATTGCAGTAATAATTTATTAAATAAAACACAGTCGGAAATTATTTTACAAAAGCATGTACCTAGTCAGAATATCGCGAGATTGAATGTTCTAATAAATTGACGACAACTTAAGCTGCTGGGGCATAAGCCGAATACGCCAAGTTCTGTGCACTCTGGAGAGGCTCGTCCTCCTGGAAGGACCTGTACTGTGCAGCCTGATACTCCCAGGGTCCATGAGCAGCAATGGGTGCAGCATGGCTGTCGGCGGCGATCTTCTTGCAGAGTTGGAAGATGGCAAGACCAACAGATACAACAAAACTGAAGAAGGAGAGCTGAAGTGCGTTCCAGGCCTTGAGACCGAGAACACCGATAGCGAGGGGGATGAGGGTCATCGCCTTCAGCAGGACGAACACGAGAATGGGGATGATGACCTTCTTCAGCTTGGACTTGCGGGCCTCCTCGACTGCTCGTCCTTGGCCGAATTTAACGTCGAAGGAGATTTGGTCGTCCGCAATGTTTCTTGCGCTGACTTTGACAGCGGACTCCAGAGGAAGCTTGAAGGTGACATCGTGAGAGACTAGGTAGTTCTGGACTGTGTCCAGGAAGGACGCCTCACTGCGGGCGGCGATCTCTTCGACAGGTTGCGAGTTGCGAGTGACTTCAACGCTGTCAGATACCTAAGCAGAGGAGAATTTAAAGGATTGGAGAAAAGTGATGTTTTGCTGGAATATTCGAAAGCTTTACCTTGAAGTTGTCCTTGCGGAAGATCTGATCCAACAGGTTGAGGACCTTGAACTTCATGCAGGACATCTCGTCATTCTTCTGGACGCACTCGCTCTTGGTCTGTTCCACAATCGAGTCCATATTGCTCCCCTTCCAACTCTCTGGCTTAGCCGGTTGAGCTCCAGCGAGGGCCAAGATTGCCATGCACACCACAAAGTACTTCATGATTTATCAGACGAGTGATCAAATTCCCCACTGGGCTTGGCGTGTCTCGTTGCTGAAGGCGACGATAATTGAAGAAGTTACTTCCACAACTGATGACTGCTCATCGGCTCATGTGTCTATTTATACGGGCGCCTCTTCTTCACTCGTACATCGGCAGTTTGATATCCCCTACCTCCGTTCAACCGGACGAATTTTCTTTTCGTTCAGTATGGTCTTCGATTATCGAGGTCTCGAGCCTCTCGTGGGGTGACTACTGATGAGGAAATTTGTCGAGGTATGAGGCACCATGTGCTGTGATGGTCTCGTGTGACAACCCTACTCCAGCGAGACTCAGACGTGCGGTTGGGAATGGATAACGATGAGGGAGAAATTAGAATCCACGTTGGAATTTTTTATGGGGCAACGGGACTCGACCGAATTATTTCGTGTTTCGTTAATTTGGCTGAGTATTCAAAAATTTTTGTTTTGTTTGGAAATTCGAGGCGGCAAAATCGGTTCACTGAGACGAAATTTCTGAAAAAATTCATGTACTAAGCGCTATACACCAGTCCCAATCAGGGGTGGCCGTCAGTCTTCCGATTCTTCAATATGAAAAGAATTTTCGACTTACATTGATTAAGATTAGAATATACTAATCGAAATTAAAAAATAGTAAACTAATTGACAATCCGAATTTTCAACTAATGACGAATTACATATTTTATAATCTGTAACTGTAATTTTTTTGTTGAGCAAATAATACTAAATTTGTTATAAAGGATCTTTGATTATCCAAATAATCGTCGATCTTCCCAACTGAATTACTGATTAATAAATAATCCGGAAATTGAATATTTAAATTGATAATTACTTCAATAATTAAAGTTTAAGAGTGATATTAATGAATTAATTACCAAGTAATTAATTCATTAATATCACTTAATTACTAAATAATTAATTAAAATATCACTAAATTACTAAATAATTAATTACTTAGTAATTTAACGGTAATTATAATTTATGGATATGGCTATATCTGGTCACAATCTCCACACTTGGAAAAATCATGGTGCCGAGAATAGTTTTTCGGGTGCTGAATGATAATTTTTCTGGTGCTATCACATGAATTTTTTTAGAAAATTTTTCTCAGTATGTAAATGATGAGGCGGTGATCAACCCCGCCACGAAGAGAAAAATCGGTTGAAAATTAACTTTCGATTTTAGTAGTGCAACGAGCTGGTAGCACATACGGAAAGAAATATTCAATAAAAATTACGTATCTTTTCCGTAATTCCAGAGCGAAATGTGGTTGTAGGAAATTGTAAGAAACTGTCACGGCATTTTTCTGGAGCGTTCCGTAATTTTTATCTGAATCTCCTGTGAAAAATTACGATACCGTCATTTAAATTTTCTGAGTCGACTCCGTAATCGGTGAGTGAATTGTGAGTTCCGTAATTTTTACTGAACGTTTCTCTCCGTGCAGGAGTTTCTTGCAAAATTTGAATGAAGAATGCAATAACTCTAGTGAAAATTCTTATAATTCAAACTTGTATCCCCGATGACAGTTTCGGATTAACTGCGATTCAGTTTTGGATATTTTTCATTCACAAATTTTTCAATCAAATGGTGTAAGAATTTCTTTTTTAATTCATAAATAACTAGAATCAACTCAATAGTATTCAGCAACATATTCGTACTTTTTCGAGCATGTATTGAGAAAATAAATGGAAGTAAATCTTTGTTCGCCGCAAAGATATCCCACATGTTGATTTTTGAAATCCAATTCTTCAACGTGTCTCTTTAACAAAATGGAAACCGATATAAAACAAAAATGGATCATGAAATTATCAATTCTCACAGTATTAAAAATTTTTGACTGCAATTTCTGGCATACTCCCTGAAAATTTCGATCACATTATCGTTCCAGTGAAATTTCGCGGAATTTCTTCATTAAAATTTCAAGATTTTATGGAAAAATCAATGGAAACTGTTCATTCGAGGTCAACTATTCCCTGAAAATTAATATAAATCAAAAACATTCAGAAAAACATATTCTTCAATTTTCGATTAATTTAAAATTCTCCGTAATTTGGTGCCGAATATCCATGTTTTCATGGAATTCTCGTCTTTCAGCACCTCAATAATTTGGGATTTAATTGAGTTCTCAGTGAAATCTGAAATTTCATGATTTTTTTCTCCTTAAATCGAATTCGATGTCACTTTCCTGAAAAATACTAGACAACTTTCCACATCGAAGAAAGAATTTAGTTGCTATTAACGAGGCTTCTTAACTACTAACGTCAGTCGTTAAGAAGCTTCTTCCAATTTTTCTATCAGAGCATGAAATTCAATTTTTTTTCAAATACTGCAACAATGTTCAATATTTTTTAATTCTCGAAATTCTAGAACCACTTCAAGTAAAAATTCCACGGAAGTATTCTAGTTTTTCCGAGATCTAGTAAAAATCTATCTAATCTAAATCTAAAAATCTATTTTTCCGAGATCTAGTAAAAAAAGGCCAACAATTACTAAACGTATAATCTCCGCGATACAGTAACCATTAGATTATCTTTTGAAGACGAGAAAAATCTCAGTTCCATGGAATCTACTAGTTATCTTAGACTGGATCTACCAATTGTTCCACTGGATCTCTAAACGATTCACTCATTGAATTGTAATAAATTTTTCTCATCCGAGAAGTCAATGCCTTTCAAATAGCCCCCACGAATTCTCTCCCAGAATGATTAACTTGCATGACCCTATCATATTTGACACCTATTTACCAAACAACTCCTCATTCTCATTCACCCTCTTAATGTTTGTATTCAGTTCCTGAAAAAACTTTCTTAGCATAATCAATTGCTCCACTTATCCACATAAAACTCCCATTAAATATCCAATTCCAAGTGTCACGTCACGTGTATTCATAAGCGGAAGCAAATTCCGTTCCACTCTCTCAAAAGGTCTACCCTTTTTCCCGACATTGGTATGCCACAGATCATAAATTCAATGCACGATTGTCACCGCTGCTTTCAGCCCAATGTCTACCAGTGAAACCGTTAATGCCTTCTTCTGGATTAATTTACCCCTTGTTAGACACAATTATCGACCTTGTCTATGACTCTAATCGTAGTGTATGCGAATCTCGTTCGGAATTTCAAGCGCGAGAATACGTGATGACTGATCAGGTGAATACCATCGCTTATCCACAACTGCTTTCATTTCTCTCAGTGATTGTACCAATAGCTTGGAATTAATCTGAGTCGTATATTAGCATAACTATTCGGGTTAGATGCATGTCAACGTTGTTGTTGTATTCTCCCTTGTTGTGAAGTCGAGGAATTTCTAGTTTCTCGGCGTCTACATGAGATGCATTGGGAATCAACGAAAGTTTCACGGTCATGGGCAGACTCGGAAATTAATGAAAATTAGGTAACCGGGTATTCGGATCAGTAGTAGAAAATTTCCGTTTCTTTCACATGTAAATATTTTATTCAAATTTCGACCACAAAAATGAGGCGACTGATTATTTGGTATTCGCATCACATATCGATTACTTTCGATAGATTAGGAATTTCAATTTAAGTATTTGTTTTGCTTTATTAATTGAATTACGATCAATCCTTATAATCGAATTCGATTCTTAACGAGGTTTACGTGAGAAATAACTCCAAATGACTTGACGAAAATTTATTAACATTTATTTATCTAACATTCATACAATAATTTATTAGGCGACAATAAATATTAAAAGCGAAATTCAGAGGTCGTTGGGTATTTTTGGTTTCGTCTATTTTCGGTACGCGCGGTAGGGTCCATTGGGTGCAGTGTCCCAGTGCGGAGCGGCGTGCTCAACGGGGGGATGCCCGTAGTGTACGACTTCGTAAGCAACCTTGGGCTTGGTGAGTTTGAAGATGAGCATGGCTCCACTGAGGACCATGGAGAGAAGACCAAGTGTGAGGGCCTTCCACGTCTTGAGGGCGATGAGGGCAAGAGCCAGGGGAACCAGCGCCGTCGCCTTGAACTTCAGTCCCAGGAGGAAGGGAATCATGACTTTCTTTACGAATCCACGGCCTGCAAGATCAATCATCAATTAATTATTACGTCAATGTCTGATGGACACAGTTTACTTAATTATACAGTTTAAACACACGCACCCTGTCCATTCGAGACGTCTGAGAGAGGAATGCTCAAGCTCTTTGGTACAGAGTCCACCAGAGATCTCGGAACGATGTTCGACCCGGCAATAGCTTCTGGAAGTTTGGCTTCGAGTTTGTGACTAGCGAGGTAGGCGTCGAGCTTCTCCAGCATCAGTGAACGAAGGAGTTCTTTCCTATCTGGATCGACTCCCTCGTACTGCGAGTAGTCTTCGTTCTCGAAAGACATCTCCCTGGCGCGAACCACAGCGAGGTCCTCAGTAATGGACACCCTCTCCTGTTTGATCACATCGCTCAAGTAAGCCAGGACCTTTGGCTTCACGCACGACAGCATCGACTCACTGTCCACACACCTGTCGAGAAAAAGATGATTGAGTTGATGTCATTGATCCCCAATTGACGATCGCTGAGCAATCGGGGGTTGTTATTACCTGTAGTAAATCTTCTGAAGCACTTCGGCTGTTGTACTGATCTCTTGAGCACTCACGCTCATTGCCAGAAGGGCCATTGACGCCACTATCAGGAACCTCATGATGGCTACGTTCGATCGATTTGCCTGGCCAAACACCGAATGCTCACTTGTACCTCGACTACTCGGTTTTATAGCCGATGGACGCTACGTACGTGCTTTGCATCTTCATCAGGGTACGTGATACTGACGGGTATGAAAGCAGAAAGCACCTTTATCTAGGGTGACAATGCTCGGAAGAATTTTTGTCATTCGTAATTTACTCTAGATTCCACAGTTTTTCGAACAGGTTTCATAATTTGAGATGTAATCTGAATGCAACTTGGAGAAATGCTTGAGATTCTTGAACTCGGAGGCAAAAGTTTGTGAGGGGAAAAGCCAGAAAATGAAAACAAAAACGTGACTTGAACTTTTACTTTTCAGAATGGACACAAAATTTCACTTGTGGCTCACTTGCGGTAATTGTGGGTCCTTTCTCTTGCTGCATTTTGTTTTTTATTTTTATGGGATCTGTGAAAGCCTTGGTCATGACCCTTCGGTTTAGCAGGAGACCAAGTGTTATGACTAATTTCGAATGAATCCGGAACTTGGAACCACTAGTATATTTGAATGTGCAATCTAATAGTATTTACTCGAAGTCTGTTATTATCTTCATTTGTAATATTTTTCTTTCATTTTTTTTTACTATCATTGTCGGCTTTTGGGTGTTGGTCTTCATTAATCCACGTATGAAGAAGTTTAAAAATTACAAACTAGCGAATTTTACACGGGGAAAAAAATATTCTCAAATCTGGTATATACTAATATTCCGGAATTCGGGATATTTTATTCTCGATTCCGGAAACATCCCCAGGGGTTTGCAGATTTTTCAGACGATGAAGAGACATTTCGAACATGGCAATTCAATAAGAAATTTCCCTGAAATCTTAAGGAAATGAAAATTCAAGGATATCTTTGTCTGATTTTTCCTCATTTCCATTCATTTTCGTGGAACAATTCAATTGAAATTTACAATTTCCATGTAATTTTCGGATTTGGACTTTTCGAAAATCATGAATTTTCAATGACAAAATTCCCTGAAATTTCAGTGAAACTGACACTTGTTGGATATTTGAAGCCTAAAATCCGAGAAATTCAAGTAAAATTTTTTAACAGTGTATTTAGAAGGAGGAAAACTCAATTTTCTGTATTTTCAAACGGAGAAAAATATCTGCACCCCAAATATTCAGAACGACTAAAAGTTTGTTATCGGAAATTGACTCACGACCTTCATTCTCGAAAACGATTCACTCTCTGAAAAATCGGCATATTCCTGGGGATGTCTCCGTAATCAAGAATAAAATACCCCGGATTCCAGAATATAATATACCGAATTCCGAAATATTATTCCCGATTCCAGAATATACACGTAATATACAGGATTGGCTGAAGGTCCCCGAGCGATGGCTGAAGGCCCCCCGGGCGATGGCCAGTTGCAAGTTCCTCGCAACTTACAACAAATGCCGTTAAAAATAAAAAATAAAAAATACCGAGTTCTGGTAGTGTAGGAGTCTAATTTTAAAAAACTAACTCGTAATTGCTACTGCACACTTTTTTCAAAAAAATTGAAAAAAAAGTCTCTGTAACCCACTTCAAACGTCTGCGAGGTAAACAAACAATAAAAAATCAGGCCCGGTCGCGCGCTTCGCGCGCTCCCTCTTTACGGTATGACCGGTAGGGGTTGGTGGAATTGGATGTGATCCAGTACGGGTCGCACCAATAACTTCCCGACCATTTGTTTTTTCTTTCATTAATTTTATTTTATTATGTATTTATTCAATCTTTTTCTCACATTTCTCCGAGGAAATACCCATAGAAGACAAGAAAATCCGTGCGCGTGCTCGCACTCACACACACTCCCATGCACACACATCGCCGTATTCCGCATCGAGAAAAGATGTAATTTATCAGAAAAGTAAAATTGTTTCTTGAATGTATATCGATTTCGAAAAAAGCTAGTGAACTGCTGATTAAATGTCTTCCAGTATTCCATGATTTGTGCGTTATATCAAGATTCATCGTTTCTAACAAAAAAAACTTGAAATCGCATCGTTATGCACGGAGAAATGGTCTCGTTTACAAAAAAACGCTAATTTTCGACTTTTTTCCAAATGTTTTTTGGAAAAAACTGGAGAAACGCTGAGACGATCGTCTCCATAATCTAATCAGGTTCAAGTCACATGAAAATACAGCGATTAAAAAAAAAAAGTCAAATCGCATCGTTTGTTCAGGAGGAATCGTGGCACAAAATTTTTGTCACAGACGTACGCACACACATACACACATCCACACATACAGACAGGTACCTGAAAAGGGTCAGAAGTGGTTCCAAAGGTCATGAAACGTGGAGAAATGCTTAAATTTCCACATTCGATTTTCGAGGTCATTACAATAACTTCCTCCCTTCGGGTCGGGAAGTTAACAATTAATTTTTTGCACTAATTATTTGTTTTTATACCTATATAATCGATCTTCAATGCATGATAAGTCATTAATCTCATAGTAGTCTCTCCTTAATTCATATTCAGTAAGAGACTATTTTTACGATTTCAAGTCAATGATCACACATTTGTGGTAATCACCGACAGTAATCGACGAAATCATTTGTAATCATGTAATCCCATTCTGCGTTGGTAATCACGGTAACCACATAGACAATAGTAATCAGTGTAATCAGTCCCATAATCCTGGATAATCGATAACACTTTGTCATCGCAGTGTCACCCAATTCATTTGCGAATAGCCCCTCGATTGTTCCCGTTAGCCAGTCAATCGCAATTAAAGAAAATCCACGCGGTGCGGTATTTTCCTCATATGATGACCAATCGTAATATACTAAGTATTTTATGGAGCATCGAATGAAGAAAATAGAGACCGAATGTCGTCGGGTCGATGGCTGTCCGCGTCGTATAATGAATAATTAAACCCCCAGTAAGGTGCGTGAGCTCCTAGCGGTATACGACGTAAACTGGTAAGCAGGTTATTGCTCAGAATGTCTGTGATTAAAGAGCTCGTTGAGGTTCTTTAAAATCATCTGACATCCTTCACCAAATTAGTACCATGTGATACGTTATTATCAACACTTGAAGCATAACAAAATAAAAAGGAAGTGTGGCTTACATAATCATGAGTTCTACTATCTTAATTCTAGCTTGAATGAGACCAGTTCGCAGCTGTGTTTACAACTGCACACACGTGTGACGGAAATAATATCATCATAATTAATTAAAATACAGTAGAGAAATTGTACCAAAAAATTGTATAGTCCTTATTTTGATTTTTTTATTAACGTATCGATCAACAATCATAAAATACATCCTTTTTTACATTTTTTAAACACCTAAGCTCCTTACGATCTTTGGGTATGGCACCCCGAGTACGTAATAATAAATAAGTCACAATAAATTAAATAATGACGACCTTATGTCCTAGAATAAATACATTAATTACTTTCACACAATATAAATAATGAATGGACATTTGACATTGATCCGCATACACCCTAACATGAACAGAAGTAGAATGTACACCCAGACTCATTATTTTTTCATAAGTATTTTACACATCATTGTCTGCTGCGCGAAATGTTTTTTCTTACTAACTTAAGTATCCGTCAAACTCTGCGTAGTTTTCATCCACGCATATCGTGAACTGATCTTCCCCCATACAATTATTACATAATAGTATAAATGATAAGTTAACATCCTCAATTTGAGGAAAACACAATCGCCCAATATTGTTAACTGCTCCGAGATTCAATATCAAATCAATTCCCCCAAATTTCATTACTCACCAGCTGCAATAAGTTGCTGACACTCGTACAAACGATAAAATGGGAAACAATAATTACATTGAGCTATTACGTTACGACTATACATTTTAGCAACATTAGCAGCGCCACATTGAGTAATAAAATTCGCTGTGTCTTCAGAGCGACTCCTAGTACCGTTACAAATGACATCGACGGGGTACAGATCTCCAAAGGGAATGACAAAACACCGCATTTCTTAATTATACTGTTGATTGTTCATTGAGGTGAGTTCATGTTAAATTACCTACTCTATTCCATATTTATTGACAAGTATAGTTTTTGAAACAATCACCGCCTTCCTGTCCGAAGCTGGCAGCGCTGATGTACTTGTGGAAGGTTTGACTCGCTTTAGTTCCGCTACGCTTCAGCTCCCGTGGATCCCTGGAGGAAAATCAGAGAACATTTATTGCATTGATAAATTGGCGGAAAACTGGTGCTAAAAAAACGCGCGACAAAAACATTAGTCTGAAAGTACAAACGAGGTTGAGCTGGCCCACAAAATGGCTGTTAATGCAGAAGAGCATAAAATGTTTTTATCCAAAAAGACATTCAACTAGGAATGAAACGAGCAGGAGAAATGTTAATGTCAATAGAGAGGGAAGAGCGTTGCGACGAAAATAAGAACGGAAGAAGCTCAAACATGCCGGCACAATGACCCGATTGTCGTAATTCGGTGCGCTCGGCCACTGGCCACCTTTCCCTTATGATCCAGAACGATTGTACCTCTCGAGCTCACCCACAAAACGTTTAACACGTACCGCAGTGTGTTTACCCGTATGGCGTTAGCCTAATGGTTACAAACTGTTATTCATTAGTGTCTGGTTCATTCACGTACCTTGACAGTATGTTGGAGACAAGATTGCTGTGCGGTGAATAGAGGGAGGGATTCTTGTACATGTTGCAGATGAGCCTCTCCCTGCAGGACTCGTCGAGGACTCCCCCTTGTGTGAATATTTCCTCGAGCCTCTGCAGAATTGGCCCGTAAAAGGTGTCATCTTGGGGAACGAGGTTGTTGGCTTGACCAAGTGAAGACGATGGATTCTTGGTAATTATCTGTTGAGTCACCCGTTGCGTCTGTGTTACAGAGGTTGGCTGGACATAAACGGGATTGACCGGCATTGCGCTTGTTTTTGAGATGGACGGGGAGCCACTTATGGGGGTCTGGTGGAGGAATGAATTGGCCATTTGAACTTGTGGAAAAGACGAGGTGGATAACTGTGAGGACACACGACGCTGCAATTTCTGGTCGTCGAGGTAGCCGTTGTAAGCCAACACTTGTCCGTGGGATGCGTAGTTTATTGGTTTCTCTTGGTAGGACAACACATTCGGTTTCACAGGTGGGGGATATTGAGGGGAGGTGTAACTGGGGGCATAGGAGGCTGGTGGAAGCGACGGGGGCAGTGGTGCAGCTGGTCGAACACCCGGATCGTCGTACGGCTCGCTGAACGAATCGATTCCCCATTCCTTCAACTCCTCCATGTCCTTTCGCAATTGAATGTGCGGGTGGGCGTAATCGTAACCATCAAACTCCTCTTCGTGATGTGGATGATGGTCGAAGAAGGACGGTACTGCTGCTGGTACTGGCACAGGAACTGGAACGTGATGATGATGATGGGCAATCTGAAAGAGAAAACGTGTCGTGAGTGAAGCCAATTGGATGATTAATCCTGTTCATTGATTTGATGATACCTGGTGATGATGGTGGTGGTGGTATTTTGAATGGGAGCTGTAGTAGCTCGAGCAGAGCTTGAAGACGTGGGCGAAGGCCGGGAAGAAGAATAAGAGAAGTTTCAGGAAGATTTTTTTCGCTACGCCAACGCCGAAGAGGAATGGTATGATAAACATGAACTTGACCTTGATCAACTTGATTATTAGGATCAGCGCTAGGAAGCTCATCAGTAACCGGTTCTGGATGAATTTTCCTGCATGAAAAATAGTGACATTAGTATCGTATAATTAGTAATCAATTGCATCTAAGTATGAGAATTTTTCTCACGGATTTTCTTGAAGAACAGTCGTCCCTGGTCCTCGACAGCTGTCTGCCCAAAATCAATCCTAACGAGTGCGCCATTCTCATCGATCTCACGTGGACTTATCTTGATTCTCGAATTTTCGAAGAAAAATTCGGGCAATTGAAGCTCGTAATCCCTCGTTGCCAAGAACTTAACTGTTTTATCTCTCAATGCCGATGTGATTTCCTCAAGTGGGCTCATTTTTTCCACATACAGGTTCTCATTCGGGTCACTGGCCTTCCGATCATGTTTTTGATCTCTTCCCCTTCTCCCAGTGTCCACAATATTCTCGGCAACATCGTCCTGGTAATTTTTCGTACAAGCTTCGTAATCAAGATTATTTCTCCTGAGCATTAATCCACTGAAGACTGTGATATTGTCACGTTCCACAAACGTATTATCAAGGTATGAATATGCATTTTTCTGAAGACAGGAGAATGACACTGCGCCCCGACAGTCCTTCAAGATGCCACTCCATAATTCATTACCCGCAGCGCCTGCCGTTAGATTTCCAATGGCAAAATATTTCGCGTAACCAGTGATTTTCGAAAAACTCGGAAAACTGAAGAAATTTGCACTTCCAATTGTAATCGCAAATGCCGAGAAAACGAGTGTTCTCGGAAACATCATCGTACCTCAATTTCAATAATAACTTGAATAACGACTCACAATGTCAAGGATTCAACGACCTTCTCACAACTATTTTATGTATTCTGTCCCAACCGCGCGTGTACCCGTTTCTCTTCCTCCTCCACAGCTATCACCTGTCCCTCTTCAACCAATATTACTATATTCCCCACTTCTCAAATCACAAAATTCCACCGAAAACCCCCGAAAGCCGTTTTATTAACGTCATAGACGCGCACGAGGGCCCAGGCAATCCCGTGTTCGCCTATCCCACTTACAGCGGTCGTTCCCGTGTCTCATTTCTGACCCTAATGAACCGTCCCCGCGACCTCTTACGCCACCGATACTTTCAAACATTCATTCACGCCCACGTAACCATCACCCCGATACACCTCACGCAACGAGTATCACTTCCTCTCTTCAATTTTTCAATGAAAAATAAACAAAACCGTTGGAACAATCATTCGTTGAAAATCAGAGATAATCTGGAGACGCGTTCACCACGATCTCTCGTTTAAAACTAACCTGGTACCACTCTGGTCTCCCCGGTTTCGATTCTCGCCGGCTCCAAGTGTGTCAAAGGCCCTCCTACTCCGGCGCAACCGAACCCCGTGGAAGGTCATTATCTTGGACTGCAGTCTAGAAGAGTGAACGGATTTCGAGTCATGCCGAGAATTTATCCGACTCCCAAAACCCTTTCGTTGATAATCATGAGCGGGAGTTTAGACAAGGTTTCGATTTGCGACTGAAACGGCATCTTGGGGGATGGGTATGCTACAAAGCAAGGTCGTTGGTTCCTTCTGGCTGCGCATCGCTTCCCTACAGACCCAGATGTTGCTCTGGACCGTTGCAACGTGCCAGCTCGATACGATGAACACGTGAGTCGAAGCCATCGAGAGGTGAGTGGGATATCATAGTCCATCACCGGAAATCATTATGTCGGGGGTATCTGGTTCAGGTGGACCTTAAGGAGAGGGGGGGGGGGG